AGAGAATGACAGAAGGAATGCATTGCAAATCAATTTCATTTCTTTGTGTGGGAAATGTCAGAAGTGTGGAATTATGATTCTGCCATGCGACACCCTAATAATTGTTTCTGCCAAGTGTGTGATGCATTGGTGCCACTGCTGCCAAAGGAGGAGATCCATGGTCAAGAGGTGCCTTACTTCAGCAATCAAAACTAGGCATGTAACTTTGAATTAGGAATGCTCCCAAGCCATGTTCAAGCAACAAACTCCAGAAGAAACAAAGCTAAGTTTACCCCTATGCAGCCCTTTACCATGTATGTGTCTATGATCTGAATATGACTATGTCTATGTATTTTGAACTTCAGTACATATGTTAGAAGCTGCTGCAGATAATCTTAGCAATACAGTGGTACCTCGGGTTAAGTACTTAATTTGTTCCGGAGGTCCGTTCTTAACCTGAAACTGTTCTTAACCTGAAGCACCACTTTAGCTAATGGGGCCTCCCACTGCTGCCGCGCCGCCAGAGCACAATTTTTGTTCTCATCCTGAAGCAAAGTTCTTAACCTGAGGTACTATTTCTGGGTTAGCGGAGTCTGTAACCTGAAGCGCCTGTAACCTGAAGCATATGTAACCCGAGGTACCACTGTACATAAGGTAGTTTTTAGTGCAGTCGCATGGTCCTCCCAATAGATAGATATTATCAGTGCTGGGGCCAAATAATAAGGTGAATCAGGCTGATACAGGGCTGACATGTCACAGACTGAAGTGAACAGATTTAGAAGCAGATCATTTTTAAAAAAGCATGGATACAGGTGTAGGGTGAATTCCGGCACACCATTAAGAGATATAGATATGCAGTTAGACATGGGCCTAATCACAGGCACACATTTCATCATCTGAGGCCAATCTCTTTGTATTGCATCTCCAAAAGAAGCACAGAGGGTAGTGACCAGAGAAAATGTTCTCGCTGTAATAGGTCTCTCTATCCTTAGAGTGCTCTCTGCATACCTAGCATTGAGGGGCAGAGAAACAGTCATGGGCAAATGACACAGGCTTCCTGGTTAAGTTAAGCCAGATGAGGTTAACAACCTGGAAAGCCCACATCAGCTGGTTGAGAGCCAATGTGGTGTAGTGGTTAGAGTCGAGCTATGACTTGGAAAACTAGGGTTCAAATCCTCATTCAGTCATGAAACTGACTGGCTAAGTTTGGGCCAGTCACTGTCTCTCAGAATAACCTACTTCACAGGGTTGTTGTGAGGATAAAATTTGGGGGAGGGAAGTGTTTATGTTAACTTGAGCTCCAGGGAAGAAAGGTGAGGTACAAATTTGATAAATAAATACATGAGGGGGGATCAGCTACTACACTGTAGTGGGATCTCTTGAGATTAGTTCTCATTCAGCTTAATTCTGGACCTATAGTCATCTACCTAAGAAGTATATTTGTCTTGGATAACTTGTTTGTGAAAGGTTGCTGTAAGAATGGTCCAGGTGTGAATTCAATGCAAAACTCTTGATACAAAACAAGAAAAATATTTATGAATGCCTTTCTTTGAGGAAAAACTAATTTAAAGTGCGCTATTTGAGGTTTTTGCATTATCTTGGGGTGGGGGGCAAAGTCCTCCTAATAGGTAAGTAATTTTTACATCATGCTTTGCTAATAAAATGAAATGGTTTATTTAACACAGTTAGCTAGTAAATATAAAGATTAGGACTTAATGAAGCCTTGTAATTGCTTGAGCTTTTTTCTTGTTTTTATTTTTTAACTGCTTTAGGACCTGTACAAGCCACTTACTTTTGGGCAAATTGTTTTTTGAAAGTGTATTCTGGTAATATCTATATATTCCCCTTTGAAAGTTATGCCCTAATATTCCTGAACAAGCAGGTGATGTTTGCAATGACTGTGTGCTAATATGTATACACAAGTTTAATTTGCAAAGTGGTTTGACAACACAACTGGCCATAATATTACACAGAGTTAAACGTGCTTAATCCCATTGACTTCAATAGCATAATGTGCTTAACCATGGGGTGGCCTACATACATAAAGTGACATAAATTTGAGGTAGGAGAGCAATCAGTATTGCTTCAGGCATGAGATGCCATTTTGAAATGCTCCTCCACATTGCTAGATATCCTGTCACCACCCCCACCACCTCAAAAAGCTGGTTGTTGGTACCAGATCTCAAACCTGATGAGTTGTTCTTCAGTCGTTTAGTCGTGTCCGACTCTTCGTAACCCTATGGACCAGAGCACGCCAGGCACTCCTGTCTTCCACTGCCTCCCACAGTTTGGTCAGACTCATGTTTGTAGCTTCGAGAACACTGTCCAGCCATCTCGTCCTCTGTCGTCCCCTTCTCCTTGTGCCCTCAATCTTTCCCAACATCACGGTCTTTTCCAGGGAGTCTTCTCTTCTCATGAGGTGGCCAAAGTATTGGAGCCTCAGCTTCAGGATCTGTCCTTCCAGGGCTAATTTTCTTAAGAATGGATGCATTTGATCTTCTTGCAGTCCATGGGACTCTCAAGAGTCTCCTCCAGCACCATAATTCAAAAGCATCAATTCTTCAGCGATCAGCCTTCTTTATGGTCCAGCTCTCACTTCCATACATCACTACCGGGAAAACCATGGCTTTAACTATACAGACCTTTGTTGGTAAGGTGATTTCTCTGCTTTTTAAGATGCTGTCTAGGTTTGCCATCGCCTTTCTCCCAAGGAGCAGGCGTCTTTTAATTTCGTGACTGCTGTCAAACCTGATGAGAGCTCCTCTGAAAAGGAGAGGCATTGTGTCCTACAGCATAAACTGGAATTGTAAGGTGACAACATCCCCTGTTGGCCGTCTGAGTCTATCTCCCAGATAATACGGTGCCCAAGGAGGCTGTAATAGCAAAGGACCCAGTGCCATGTCACTCCAATTCCCTACTCTCCACCATTACCCCTGGCACTGCAAGAAAAGCGGTGCAGAGTGTGTCACGCCAAAGCCCAACACTATTGATGCATTGCCAGTTTGACAGTCTAGGTCTTCTCCCTCAGCCTGGAAGGAAGCAGCATCAAGCACTAGCATGTGCTCCTAATAAGGGCTGGCTGAGCTCCAGAAAGTTCCTAGTACAATAGCTCCATGAAGCAGGTCCCTCACCAGACCCTTCAGGCTCAATTCCTGCTGGACAGCTCCTCTGTTGATCCAGACTGCCGGCAGATCTTGCCTCAGCTTCTGTTGGACAGCTCCCAGAGTAGCCCAACTCTCCTGGCTCAGGCATCATTCATCTTCCTTCATAGTGGCAGGATAGCTAGGTCAGGTACTAGCACAGTAAGACCTTCTTGAGTACTTTTCAGCTCAAAAATATATCAAAACACATTGGAAAATCCATATTTATTCAGGGATGTGTATGTGAAAGAAGTAAAAATAAATGTTCGATTCACACCTTCAGTTTCTTTTTAAATTGCAAATGGAAGTGGGAAAGGGAAAGACCAGAATTAAGGATAAATCAGATGGACTGGAAATCCCCTTATTCACCCATGTCTGGTCTCAGTTAAGTTAGTTGTTATTAATAAACCCAGTATGTGTCTCACCAAACAATGCAAACTTTAAATGAAGCATAGAAAAACAGCCAGAATTCATTACAAAAATGTTATTAAAGCCAAAGCGGGCAAAAAAAATATTTACAATGGATTTGCTTTAGTGAGCTGATTATCCATGTCATGAAGTGGCCTTTTATTTATTTTATCTTAACTAATTCTGTAGTTTTGTTTTTGAACTCCCATTGCTGTAATTACAAACTAGTTTAGTATTATTAGATATTTATAATCCCCCAGTAATGTTCTCTAATCTCTCCCTTTCCCTAGATAACTGCCTCACAGCTCAGCAAATTTTGTTCTTTTAATCACTTCCTCTATAATAACCCTCAAGTTAGAATACAGGCACTTACTATTATCTTTAGAGAAATGCTTATATGCAGACATTCCTGAGCGCACATGAAAGGAATAATGGTAATTAAATATTTAATTTTGATGAAACTCTGTGTTTTCCCAATCCTTTTCATTATAAGAATAGGGTAGAAATACCTGTAGAACAATACTTAACTCTCCTCCTTCTGTAATACGAAATACAGTGGACGCTCAGGTTGCGAACGTGATCCTTGTGGGAGGCACGTTCGCAACCCGCGGTGCCACGTCTGCGCACGTGTGGGTTGCAATTCGGTGCTTCTGCACATGCGCAAAGCACTGAAACCCGGAAGTAACCTGTTCCGGTACTTCTGGGTTTGGCGCAACCCAAAAACCCATCTGTAACCCGAGGTATTGTTTAATGCTATAGCCAGAGCAAACTTTGGGAAGTCCACAAGCAGGACAATGAACACACCACTGCTCTTCCCACCACTCTTCCTACTCCAGCAAGCGTTATTCAGAGGCATACTTCCTCGAATACTAAAGGAAATACAGAACCATCATGAATAATAACCATTGCCAGCCTTATCTGTTTGTCTAACCCTTCTTAAAGCCACCCAAGCTGATGACCATCACCACAATTTGTGGAAGCAAATTCTGTAGATTGAATAATGTGTTTACTGTGTGAAAAGGTACTTCAGGCCCTGCATTCTTAATGGATGCTTCTTCTTTCATTTTTGGCCTACTTTAAATGCCAGCAAAGGGGCTCCCTGACTGCCTCACCTCAAACTTTCTGTCCAGCATTCAGAAGGAGGAAGCCTCCTGGGCTCAAGTGATACTCCTCTCACTTATTCCCTTTGAGTTGACTGCCAATGGCAAGTTGGGAAGGTATCACTTCACCCAGCTATCTTAATATCGCCTCCTGACTACACTACCTGCCCAGCTGAGGCCTAAACATGTAACCTCAAGAGCAAATTAGGCAACCACATCCAGATCAACCATGTGGTGAGGAGTATGTGGGAGGAAATATGATTCCAGGTGTGAATTGCAAATGGAATTGCCAAATAAATGCCTACTCTGTCCCCAAATAGGTGAACAACTAATTCCACACTGGCAAGGGGTGAGGGTTACCAAGTCAAACAGAGCCCTGTGGGTACTTCAGTTGGTAGGGCATGAAACTTGTAATCTCAGAGTTATGGGTTTGAGCCCCACATTGGGCAAAAGATTTCTGCATTGCAGGGGGCTGGACTAGATGACTGATGGCCCCTTCCAGCTCTACTATTCAATGAGTCTAAAGAGTCCAGAGAAGGGAAAGAACCACATTTTATAGGCGAACCACATTCCTTTTTGATTGGCTGGCTCCCCTATATATGATTGGTGTCAACTGAAGAATCCCAGAGTGCCTTACTCTGGGTATGAGGATGGGGCAAAATCATCCCAATGCAGGATACAGTGGTACCTCAGGTTAAGTACTTAATTTGTTTCGGAGCTCCGTACTTAACCTGAAACTGTTCTTAACCTGAAGCACCACTTTAGCTAATGGGGCCTCCTGCTGCCGCCGTGCCGCCGGAGCACAAATTCTGTTCTCAACCTGAAGCAAAGTTCTTAACCTGAAGCACTATTTCTGGGTTAGCGGAGTATGTAACCTGAAGCGTCTGTAACCTGAAGTGTATGTAACCTGAGGTACCACTGTATGTTCTCTGGCTCTGGCTCTAGACCTTCATGCATTAATGTGGCCATCTACCATGGGGGGGGGGACCTATATAAGAGCAAATAGATTGATTCCCTCTTTCCCACAAACATTGAGCATAAGCAATTTTCATCTGTTCCTGCTAGCTTTTCTCCATGTACATAAAACATATTTTTCCCCCTCATCTATGTTTTTAATTCAGACAGTTTGCAAATGCCTACAACTTCGTGTTTTTCTCTGGTGCTGTTTCTTCAGATCACTGCATCTTTATTGAAACTTTCTCCCACGATTGTGACATTTTCACCAAACCAGCCTACATTGTTAGAATCGATTTTTATCCCATTATCTTCTCACTCTGATATATTCAATAAAGCACCTAGTACTACTTTTTTCTATTTTGGATGGTCCAGTATTATCGCAAAAATAGTAGGGCGAAAAAAGAACAGAATGGAAAAAAGATTTACAATATCCAGAATTACAACTCCTTTGAAAACTCTCTTGACCTTGCCAACCATTTATCTTACTAACATCTCATTTCTAACTCCCTTTCTTTTTTTAAAAAAAGTGCTTAGGAAAGTAGCCTTGTATCATCTCTGAAATCACTTCTCACACAACAATACCCTTGACTGGTTTTAATCAAGGTATTGTTCTGGTCATAGTATAGAAATAGCTTTCCTGCACTACAGTAAATGATATCCTCATCTCTGTTCTGTATGCCTTTGTTCCCCTTGACCTTGGTACTGTCCATTCTATATACCAAGATCAAGTCCCTATTTCTGAGTTTTGTCTATCATTATGTGTGCACATTGGCTCCTGCTGCCTTCTTTTTATACAGAATCACAGGTGACTGAAGTGCCCTTTTGTGGCTCAAGTGTTGTTCACCGTTTTCTCCGTTCAACAACATATTGCAAACGTCAGTCACCAAGTTTAAACAAAATGTTAAATCACTGTGTTTTAAAAGTGGATTGGTTATGAATATATACCAACCAGAAGAAAGCCAGGGCTGTGAAGTGGTTAGAATGTTGGACTGGGACCTGGGAGCCCAGGGTTCAAATATCTTCATACCATCATGAAGCCTACTGGGTGACTTTGGGCAACCCACTGCCTCTCATTCTAACCTATGTCACAGTATTGTTGTGTGGATTAAATGAGGAGGGGGAGAACCCCATACCCTACCTTTAGCACCTGGGAGAAAAGATGGTATATAAATGCAATAAATAAAAATACATAAATGTTATTTTGGTTTGGACCCTAATGTGTCATCTTGAAAAACTGCTTGTCTCATTCTGAAGTACTTCAGAAGCTTCCTGATTTGTCTAAGGGCCCAAGGACACTTCAAAAACAGGAGACTTTGTTTCCTTTCCATTCACTATCTGGAAATTTAAAAAACAGTTATGTGTTTTGCTTTTTACATAAATGGATGGAATTTGCAGGCATAGTAGCCTCCCCAGAGTGTATAAAACCTGACAAATTACAGGCAAACAGGTCTAAAGGGTGTGTGGGTGTGTGCTGGGAACTTTTAAAATTTGGTTATTATTTATATTTATGAAAATATATAATGTTTAATTTTTTGCAGTATTGGATGAAATTTACATGCAGAAGAGAGAGAAAGCATGAACAAGTTGCATGACCTCTAATCACACTTCCATGGGCAAAGTAGGTCCCCACAAGTTCTTTTTCATACATTTATTCAGAAGCTTTGTCCTCATTCTCCTGGGTTCTGTTTTGTTATAGTGAGTGAAAATTCTCAGAAATGTTCAGACACCCCTGGGTGAAGACACTCTGTGTGAATGGCATAATAATTGCAAATTAATTTCATCATTTTCATCATCATTTTTTATTTGTATGCCACCTTTCCACAGTTAAAAAAACAATGCTCTAGGCAGCTTACAGCATAACAAGATTTACATAATTACAAAAATCATAAACAATAAATAAACCACATCAAAAAAATGCACAACCAAATGGGAAACAATTTCCACATGAATCAAAATCTAAAACTAAGAATACAGCATTAATATCACAGTTTAAAATGACATAGGTAAAAAATAACAGCAATTTAAACAAAAAACAAGAACAAAACAAAATGGAGCCCTCTCTGCCCAGCAGCAGCAGTGGCAGCAGTCCTTTATAGAGCCTATCAGACCCCGCCCTAGGCCAGGTGTTGAGTGGCAGGACTGGGGTCCTCAGGCACTGAGCAGGGGAGTCCTCCTGGGTGGTAGCCGTAGCAGCAGTTCCCATAGCCTGTCAGGCCCCACCCTGGGCCAAGTACCGAGGGGCAGGACTGGGGCCCTCAGGCACTGAGCAGGAGAGTTCCATGCTTCTGAGGTCAATCTTGTGAAGCACCTCCCTGCCTCTTTATCACTTCTTAGATACTTGTTGCTAAAGGCTTCATGGATTAGATTGCCTTATGGCTGGGGCTATTTACAAAGAATTACCATTTCCATGTGGATATATTATTTCAGACCATTAAAAGGTTCAATCCAGGATCAGTCAAAAGAATGGGAATATTATTTTCATAAAAGTGAAGAGGGTTAATAGTAATGAGTATCCACATGTAAGCAATACCAAATAAAATCTATTTTGGTGGGAACCTGCCAGCCATAAGTCCCCCCCCCCTTTTTTTAATATGCATCCAAAACATCCACCACATACTGCTGCAACCATGCATTACAGATCTTGGTTCTTTGTTTTGCTGCATTGTAAAATATTTTAATTACTCAATAAAGTTTTTAAAACAGAAACAAAAAATCCAATAAAACTATGTTGAGCAGGTGTATCTGGGAAGTCCCAAGATGGACCTGAAATGTTGTAACTGGTCCCTGGCCACACAGACCTTAAAGGAGAAAAGATGGAGTTGCTCATGTCTCAAATTGTGATTCCTTCAGTGCAAAATACATCACACACACACACACACCAGCCATTCTTGGGTACCTGGTTCTTGAAAGCTATGAAAACTTGTTAATTAAAGTTCTGTAAGTGATTTAAATTAACCAAATATGCATTGGGCTTTTATGTGTTTTAAAGATACATATATATTTCGGTGGGTAGGAGATCTTGGTTGTGCCAAGTCAGTTCTCACATCATCCACATTCAAAACATATGACACATAAAAAATCTTTCATTCCCCCTACTTGTTTCCACATTTTACATTGCCGTAAAAGTACAGAATGTGTGCTACCTAGACTGATAATGGAATAGTCAGTACTCTGTTAAAGTTATCAGCACGCCATGACCTTCAGTATGCCACTTAAGACTTTGAGCCATTGAAGAATTTATGGGTCCACATAATTTAAATACCTTGAGTAGCCCTATTGTCTTCAATGTGACTTCATACATGGTTAATAACACATAATAAATTCCTTTCCAGGATGAGATTGTTAAATTCCTGTCACTTCATTTCCCTCCATCAGCAACTCCATCAAGTTACTGTACACTGACTTTACTACCATTGTCCCTACTTAAAATGCAGGAGCGGATCATTTAAGGTCCATTCCAGTTTTTCCATTCTTTAATTCTGTGATAAAAATGCAAAGGATAGTAGCTAACTTAGCTAGAAAACATTTTACTAGTTCATTTGTGATGGCATCATCTGAATACTTAAACCCATACAGAGTATTTCTATCGAACTCTGGAGATGTTCCATACACTTTTGATATATTGATCGTATTTCTATTCCACTGACAAGGAAGCAGACATGGAGTTTTCCTATTTTGTAATTTAATTTATTTAAACTATGCCTATTGAATTTTTTGAATGACCCATATCCACAAGTGGGCTCCAGAATAATACAGCGCAAACAAACAAAAATAATTCCACAACAATAAAAATATAAACATAAGCAACAAAGCTACAATGAGCATGCAAGGTCCACCACCACATTCACATACTGGGTGCTTGTGGCAGCCATAGCACCAGATGGTGAGAGCAGGATGACCAGGCCTGGATTGAGCCTGATGCCCTTGTGCAACTGCTGTGAGACCAGCTCTAGATCCAGGAGTTCGCTGTGGGTTCAGCCCTGTTCTCTCCCTACCCTTGATATGTCCTATTCCAGGGCTATCAGCTGGCTCTCATTGGTTGAAAGAGTACCCACCAGCATGTCTCCTGCCCTTCCCCCCAATTCAGCAGCCAGCAGGAGGCCAGCTGAGCTAGGAAAGTTGGGTAGAAGAATATTTCCACCCAATCTAAGGGGCAGGGGTAGGGTTAGATTGCTCTGTCCTTTAGGAATGCTTTGGAGAAAAGTTTTCAACAAATGTCAAAAACAACCTGGGGGCCTGCTTCACTTCTAAGCAAAGAGAACTCCAGAGAACATAAGTAAGTATTGTTCCAGAAATGCATATGTCACCACTGACATCATTATGTGCTAAACAGCTATGAAACTAAACATCAGGAAAGATACTTTTTTTCAGATCTACCATTTTCTCCTTGAAGAATCTGCTATGTTTTCCTTGAGATACAGAAGTACACATAAGAAGGTAACAAGTTACAATAATGTTATACAGTGGTACCTCGGGTTAAGAACTTAATTCG